TTTCTTAAATATAACTCAGAGAAATAGTCCTAGATTTAAATTTTTAGGCACTAATACATAAAAGCATTGGTTGATTCCCATAATACAGCTGGTAGTCAAACTGGACAAGATAATGAATTGACTGAGATCATTATTCCATCTTCATCCAAGAAAGCTGCCTCTAAAAAAAGATCTTAAATTGCTGTAGAAATCCAATTTGTAAGAAGCAAAAGAAGCATATAGATGGGAAACACCAGCCATGATCACATTAATTTTGTGACTAACAGCATTGCTTTGAAGTGAAGAAGGAAAAAGAAAAGAAAAGATGATGAAAATAAGTCCACCCAAATCCCAAATTTAATCTAACAATACAATCAGAAGTAGATCAACTACAGATACAATGTTTACATCCTGGAGATCTAATGACCATCAGACTCTACGCAAAATAATGTTCCGTTTAAGACGAAAACTAATGCCAGTGCAAAGGAATACTATAGGATGATGTTGCATCATGACTAAAATGTTATAGTAGGAAATCAGAAGACTGGGAATTTGACATCAATACGAATAACCATGGAAACTTCATGACTGATTAGTTTTTAACATGCAGGTATTGGAAACTGAAAATTAATTATCATGACAATATTCTACTTTATAAATTTGAAAACTAGACAGGAAAAGTATCTCTGACAATCTATCATTTATTTAACCACTTATTCAAACAAAAGATGCAGAGAACAGAGATACAGAAATAAAGGCATGGTTTCTACTGTTTTGTGGAAACATTCTATTAAACTATCTGCTCAGGTATAAGCAATATACAAGGTCACAACCAACTTCTATTTGACAGGGAATCTGTAGACATCATATGAAAAGCAGTTGGCTTTGAGAAATTACCAGTTAAGCAAACATGCTTACTCTAAGTAAAACTGAACAATAAAAATCAGTATTAATCAGAAAAGACTTCACAATAACAGATCTACATAAAATGCTACAGAGAAAAAAATAAAGGAAACTATAGTGAGTTCCTTTATCATTTTCTTTGCAAATCTCAAAACTAAAGAAATAACTGAAGTCCAGTGAATAGCACACTTCTTCAGGGCAGTACACATCTAAGTTAGAATGTGGGAAGTGGAGATTTTTCTTTCCTTTTGTTTTGTTTTTAATTACCAGGTTTTTGAAAAGAATTCCTTCTTAATGAAACTCAAGTATTGAAGTGATGCATGAAAGCTCATGGAAAAGGGAATTTTTACCTGACATATTACTTAACAAATTTCACAGCTTCCCCACTGCAGTTCATATGTTCTTGAACATGTTTTACCCAGAAAATAATGGTCTTCATGCACAAACATATGCCCACACAAAACCCTCACACAAAACGTTGCTACAAGTTCCAGGAAACTAGCAAAAGCAATGTTAAAACGCTGCACACAATAAAAAAATCCACTTCCAAATTCTCTCCATGAAAATACAACATGGATCCCACTTAACAAAGTGCAAAGAACTTTCTCTGCCTAAGAAACATATCAACATCACCTTACCATTATCCGTAGAATAAAATCAGCAACGTGTTGCTTCCTGCTGTCACCAAATCAAATTATTCTTTCCTTTCTCTCTAGTAACTTGTTTTTCACCAGCAAGATTGGGAAGAAAATAAACCTTTGAGTTTTTGCTTCAGGATTTCAGACCAAAAGACTGTGAAACCAGCTCTTGGTTTAAAAAAAAAAAAAAAAAAAAAAGGAACAGGTCTGGTGTTTTACAATCACCTCTGCCCCAGAGGTGCCTCCTAGCTCCTGTCCCTCCTGCTCTCCCTGGCTCTCCACGTTTCTTTTAGCAATGAGACTAATTTTTCCAGTAGCCTTGAACTCCCTAGATTTAACTGACATGGAAAATGTGACTAAAAACTTGTAGAACTGTCTAGCCTCCAACCGTACACAGAATCAACTTTGTTGTGAGAGTTGAACACCTCGCAAGCAGCTACATGCTCAGTCATACTCCTGTGCTGCGCAGCACGGAACACCAAAGAACAGGGCGCCATCTAGTTAGCAAGCTGCAATCTCCATCCTACAAGGGGGGACACCTTCGAACCCTGGGAGCTAAGAACTTGTCAGAGTTCAGCTGCTCTAAAGGTCCAATTGTTTATTTAAATAAAAAAAGATATCGCTACTGAGATAATCCACATCTAGTGGATATGGGAAAATTTAGGTTATAATAGCACTACAAACTTTTACATCTAACTTTGATTTACAAGATAAAAGCAAGTTTTAAATTAAAAGGGCTTTCTGTTAATAGAGCTTATTATTCTGAAGACGGGAATGATTTTCTTCGAAAGTTGTCCCTGGGTGCATGCCTATTATCTTTGCTTTTCCCCCTTCCACTAATGAGCATTTATCTAAAGAGCCTGTTAATCCTCTGATGTGTGCTTCTGGTCAGAGGTAACAGTTTGAATAAAACCACTAATCACTGATCACTAAATCACTGATCATTAATCACGCTCTCCAGTGCCCGTGACCAGGCCATTTTTTCCTTAAGGTCTCTGCATCACAAACAAGTAGTTTAACATACTTGATGCACATATATTGTGTGTAGGGTTATCCTAGTTCATCCCTAGTTGTGAATAAATAATAAATACCGCCACAAACTTGGGGAAGGGATGTCAGTTAAACCCCAGACAGGAGTTTCATAAATGCCTACACTACAGCATGGCTTTCACTTTGAAGAAAGCAAAGCTGATTATAACAAAACATATGCCCTTCAAGAAATTCCCACCTATTCAGAATATAAGTTTTCCTTTATTTAGGTTTCACCAACTCCAAATCAGAGAGCACCAGAGTCCCCTGCCTGCCCCTCTCCATCCAAAAGCCTGTAGTTAGTAACTTTATTTGCATTTAGTTTGTACATTCCCTCACTCCCAGAGTGCTTCTTACTTTTATCCCTTGAACAAATCACCCAGGGTTTTTATTTCAACTGCCAGATAGGGAGATTCTGACTCAGTTCAGTGACTTATGTATTTAACTTCCTTTTTAAACACAGAAACTTCAAGAACAATACAGAATCACGCAGCAATTTATTGTATGGTACTTTGTGTTCAACGACTCACATGTTCTCACTTTGGAAATAAAACATCTAATCTTGGTTCCTTCAGCTAAACAGTGTAGTAGGCTGCTCCCTTCCTAACCTTCCCTCTTGGACTAAACAGTTCTAGGCAGGCGCTGTATAAAGTTAAGTACTTTGTTGGCTGTGGATGCATTGCTTTCCTAAGTCACCGCAGGGGCTCGGTATTCTCATACTGCTTCTAAACATTTCCTGAAATGCCTTTTCTGTCAGGGATGAGTATTTTCGTCCTGAAAGAGGTTTGCTGGTGCCTTTCTTAAATAATAGAAAAGGGCAGATTGTGCCCTGATCAGGCACAGCGGTCCCCTCTGACACCAGAAGCTCTTACCCACACTCCAGGGACAGTGTTCGCCCCGGGAAAAGCTGGAAAAGGCGGGGGCGGGCCCAGATGATAACGATGTGGGCGGGGAGGGTGGAAAAGGAGGGGTTGGGACCAGAGGGCAATAAAGATGCCCAGGGAATGGGCAACTGCAGGAGTGGGGGTGTGCTTTGTCAGCGTCCTAAACTCCTGAACCCTGAGTATCTGAAGCTGTTAATCAAACACTTACTGGCCTGCAGAATGACGTAATGGACCTGTATACAGCCTTTATTCCTTGACACACGTCAGAGAGAGGGAAAAATTAAAAATCCAACGCTCTGCAGACTGACAGTGAAATACACAAACAGCCCACTCCAGTCCTTGGCCTCGAATAAGCATCAAGTGAGGGCGACCCTGGTCCAGAGAAAGTTGAGGGGTTTATCAGGCACCCCTTAGAAATAGGTCTACAGCAAAGAAGAAGCGGGATGCAAACCCCACTGTCTCCCTCCTTCCCCCACAGAAAACATCGCCTTGGTGCCTTCTTTCTTGTCTTGCCCCTCTGTGAACTTGGTGAAAAGTTTAAGCGGCACGCTGAAGGATCTGGCGCAGAGCAAGGCTCCGCTGGCCCGGTGCTGAGCGCAGTTTGGGCGCCGCCGCGGCTCCAGCCGGAGCTGTCATTTGGGGCAGCGGCCGGGAAGAGGTAAGGATGTCAGCGAGAAAGAGACGGAGGCAAGAGGCAGCTGGAGGAGCGAGCGTCAGCGGACAGAGCCCCGCCACTCCCGAGCCTGGAGCGCCTGGAGCGCCCGGAGCAAAGTCGAGCGCCCCGCAAGGGCGACTTCCCTCCCCGGGCGCGCGTGCCCACCAGCCCCGGCGGGCAGCTCTGCGGGCGAGGTGGCAGGAGGCTCGGCACAGGGAGAGGGCGAGCCCGGGTGCACTCGCCCGCCCGCCCCCAGGTGACCCGGCGTCCTTGCCGCGCCCGCTGGAAGTTTGCAAACTTTCTCCGGGGGTTCCGCCGCCGCCGCATCACTGGGAAGCTGGGGACGCGGGGGGCAGGCTCCTGGCTCGTCGTCTCCGCTGCTGCCGCGGCCGCTTGACCACACTTCTGGAGGGGTCCTCACTTTGCCAGGTCTCTGGAGGCAAACACACACCCCCGATTCATAACTGTCCCCCGTGTCAGGGAAACTCACGCGCGCTCCCACACACGCACGCACGCACGCTCGGGCGGACACGGCGCGGGCTCCAGCGAGCATCTCTCCAGTCGCACGGCGCAGCGGCCACCGAGACGCGCTTCGGGACGGACACGGCGCGGGGTGGCCACAGGACACAGCAGAATTCCACAGCCTACTAGTAATTGGGGCCGGACTTCCCTTTGGTCCGCCAAAATGTTTACAAACACAGATCACCCTCCAAAAAAAAAAAAAAATGCATCGCATCTTCCTTACTCCTTGCCCTGTGACCTGCCCATTGGACCAAGTAACCTCGCGGCTGCTGCCGAGAACCAACCCCTGCAAACAAGTACGCTCCCGAGATGGCTCCCGCGGCAAGTGCAACAAAAGTGACTAAATGCAAAAGCCCCAGAAGTGGCCGAGCCGTATTTTTAGGAACTTACCAAACAAGTGTGGAGAAGGCAAGAGCGGAGCCTGGGTGAAGGGACCACGTTGGACTGAGCAAAGATTACAATACATTCTATTTAGAGTGCATTACATCACCCCCCCGGTGACGTCACGTGGGATTCCTGAACTTCTAAATCATTGCGGTCCGCTAGGGAGGGAGGGAGAGGGCGGGGCCAGCACGCCGAGGGGGCGGGTTCCGCCCCGGTCCCGCCCCGCCCCGCCCCGCCCCTCCAGCGGACCCTGGTGCACCGCCCGCGAGCGGCGGCGGCGGCGGCGGCGGCGACCGCGCAAGCAACAGCTTGCAGAGCCCAGCGCCGTGTGACACGGCTCCCTGACATTAGTGGTGTGAGTCAGCTTGGAAACAATCCTGATGGTTTCAGACAGGACCACAGAGGAGGCGCGGACACGGGACCTCTTGCGGGGAGAACTTGCTAGGGTCTGAAAGGTGTAAAGACCTGGAGAGTGGGAGGAGAGAAGTGGGAAGGGGTTGCTGGGGGAAGTGGGAAGAGACTTTCTGCAAATAGAAATGCTGGACGCTCCCCTTCCCCCACCAGAAGATGTCCAGCTTCGTTTGCCTGCGACAGTCATGACCTCATTGCAGTGTTCCCTGCATGCTGGCTTCTCACAGCACTCACTCTCCCTGGACACCCTTCTTCACCGGCCCTCACCCCACCTCACCACCAGGGATGCAACTTCCTCATTGGGCACACTCACTTGGAGCACACAGCCCCCACCTTTTCCAACCCCCCCCCCCCCCACCGCATCCTAGGGACAGTGGAGAAAGTCGCTCCTGAAGGCGAAAGGTGAATCTCTCCTAGAGCCAAGCACTGAGCCTGATTTAGATTCAGCGTCAGAGCCGGAAGAGCCTTGGTAGTCAGTTCCAGCGCCTGCTCAGTTGTTGGTCCAAGCTCACCGGCTGGCAGAGCCAGGGCCAGGAGGCAGGATCCCTGCGCTTGGTTTGCAGAGAGAAAAGAGCCTGGCGTTTTCAGTATCAGCCAGTCATCCTCTCACCGCCACAACATCTTTATCTGACTTCTTTTCAGAAGTTCTTGTGGACACCATTTAAAGGGAAGGCATAGGCCAGGCTCCAGTGCCATTCTAGATGACCATGGTCTGATCATCCTTGTAACGTCTCACATCTTACAAAGCACTTAAGAACATGGGAATCATCTTGTTTCTCACAAACCTAGTACAATAAGAAGTAGGACAGGTGTTACAATTACTGACATGTTCCGGGTGTCTGCAGAAGGTGAAGGGGCTGCTGGCCTGAGATCACTTGAACAGCAGGTGGTGGCAGTGGGACCACCCGGGCCCTTGTTTTCAACCCTAAATCCTATCCAGTTTCCTTCATAGAACCAGGGGTGAGTACTGCCTTCCTGTGGGTTATTGGTGTCTACAGCCTCTGCTAAGACTTTCCTGGCTGTAAGTTCTGCCTTTGCTTCTTCACTTAGGAATGGTTTAAGCCCCCATTAACAAACAATAATCATTTCTGACATTTATGTAACATCTGACATTTATATAGTACCTCTCATCCCAATGCATCACAGCCGTGACTGTGCAGTTTGCCAAAGGATCGTGACTGGACTGGCTAGAGACTGTAACACTGTCTGCATTGCACATATTTTGGGTGCCTTTTGACATATTAAGTGTAAGCGCTTTCTATTTCCTTTCTATTAAGCATTGAAATGTACCCCTTCCCTTTAATTCTTTGGAACCACAGGGACTGACAGCAGTTTGTTCCTCACAGCCTTGCTTAGAACTCTAAAGTGAATTTTCTGCTTGTTCTTTTCCTCGTGGAGCCCTGAAAGAGTGGCAAAGAATAGCTCCAGTCTGAACCTGAATGTTAACTAATAAAACTTTCAATGTGACAGCTCACATTACCTGGGTTTATGAAAGGAAGAAATAGCTACTCTACAACATCTTCTGTGCCCACATTCTGGCACCGTAACCAGTACAACCCTCCGCACTTAAAACATCTCTCTCCCTCTGTCTGTCTGTCTGTCTGTCTGTCTCTCTCTCTCTCTCTCTCTCTCTCTGTCTCTGTCTCTCTCTCTCTCTCTCTCTCTCTCTCTCTCTCTCTCTCTCTCTCTCAAAGTATGAGCCTGTTGAAGAGTAAATTTGAGGAATATGTATATATAGTCTCAACATAAGAGCTCAGCTAAGAGTCTAGTTTTTTTTCCAGAAGCAAACAGGTGCAGACCAAAGGAATAGAGTGGAGAATTAAATTATCAAAGCCAGAATGATATTCAAAGGCTTTAAAAATTATGAATAATCAACATACACATTTACAACATTTAATTCCCAGTGTTCTGTAAACAGAAGCACGTGTATATGAGTTTTAATGCAATTTTCTAATGTGGATGATGGGAATAATTATAGTAACTCAAGCTAAGAATTATATCACTTGCATTAACAAATGTGCTGGACAACATATGCAAGAGCTCATTCTCCTATTAATAAAAGTATTGTGGCTTATGCTGTGATAGGTGGGCATTTCAGTGTTTTAGGAAAACTTCATCAAATAATTGGGAAGGAAATCTTTTGCTCCAGAATTCCCCCCAACCCCACACTGCAACCTTAAATCAGGTCTCTTAAATCAGGCCAGCAGAGCCCCCGTGCTTGTGTACTCACATTGCTGCCCACCCCATCTTCACCCACTGTCTTCCAGGATTTCTCAGAGCCAAAGTACCCTGGCGACTGCAGTTCATAGGAGCAGCCAAGCAAGGACGTCTCAGCAGGCATCGCAGCTGGAACATTTGATCCCCAGGATGCCAGTAGCACCAGATACCAAGAATACTACCTCCTCTCCAGGTCTCTTCCCTTATGGCCTGTAGGATAAGGACTGCTATACCAGAATCAAGGCAAATTATCCAGGAGCCACCCATCCAAGGCCAGCCCCTCCCCTGCAAGCTAGCCTGGAGGTACCATTCCTGGTACCAGCAAGGTCAGATCTAAGAGAAGCTAACTGACATCACACAGACCAGTGCAACTAAATGATATACCCCCTGCTAACCAGGGTAAACCCTTTACATGTGAATCACAGAACACAGAGGCCTGAGGAGTCAGTTAGGATTTACCAACCCCTAAGGAAGAATTTTAACACTTTAGCAAACAGAAAATCCTACTAGTGCTTACCCTTGGATAACACTATCCTGAATAACACCATCCCAAAAGTCCTCAGGTGGGAAGACATCCACAGAAGTTCTCTCACTTAGTGGGGTATGCGATAGAACTCCTGGCCACCATGCTATAGAAGTTTCTTGGGTCAGACTTCCACAGGGACTTCACTTCAAAGGCTTGGAACTGAACTCAGGATTCCGCACTTGTGATTCAGATGCAAGTCCCTTGGGGACCCACCTTGAGTGATTCTGATTAAGTAAATTCTTGAGTAGACAGTGACCTGGGAGGAAGCTGATAAGGGACCAGGAAAAGGGCCAGACTGCAACAGTAACACAATTTTTTCATTTTTGTTTGGTGAATTTTTTAGGGTTTTATTGTTGTTGATGTTTCTATTTTTCTTTTATTTTGCAACACTAAAAAATATGACCCAAGGCTCATATGCTTCATACCAGTCCCCTGGTGGCTTCTCATAAGGATGCATATACCTACTTGGAGAAGGCTTTTCCTTATCCTTTCCACATGCACCACACACCACTCAGAGAAAACTTCTCCTATGCATTTTTTTAATTTGAGGCTTTTTTTTTCTTTTTTGATGGGGGGATTCAACCCATTAACTTTGCCCTGAGCTACATCCCCAGCTCTTTTTCTTTTGAGAGACAAGTTCTTACCAAGTTGCTAAATTGCTTGGATTAATTCAAATTTGCCATTGTCCTGCCTCTGCCTCCCAGAGTGCTGAGATTGCATACAGGTAGGAGCCACCATGCCTGACTTATATGAGGCTTTTCTTAACTAGGGTAACAATGGTGTTAGGACAGATGCTACCGAAGCCCACTTCATGATCCAAACTATATCCCCACCGGAAAATTTCTATGCTTTCTAGATAAGATGAATGTTCACCAGAATCCTTTATATCTAACTAGTATTTACCACACATTTTCTGTGTGCAAGCCTTGAGCTAAAGGCTTTGTGTGCATTTTCTGTTAGTGTTCCCAACAGACTCTTCTTATTTAGCAGTAAGGAAATTGACTCTTAGTGAAGATTGAGTGTTGTGCCCAGGACCACCCTACATCACTGACACCTATTCTGGTGCCTGTCAGCAGGTAGCCCATGCCATGGGAGTTCTGAACCAAGTCAACCTTAGGATTTGAAATGCAGAGGAATAGAGAATATCTTTGACATCTCGGGCTTCAGGGACTGCCAGTGTAGACCTCACAGAAGACTTCTGCTCAAAAGACCCAAACTTGACTTACGGCTCTGCCGTCACAGTCTTGATGTCCTTAATAATTTTACTTTGGAATTCATGCTCTGTGAAATGAAACCCCATGAAAAGCAGAGCATATGGCTGAACAAGGAGATTCATGCACAATGTGTGCCTGTCATTCTTTGCTACTCTGTTTATGTATTAGAGCTTATTAGACAAACACAAACACCAAAAAACATGACAAAGAAGGAAAAAGACAGGGCAGCCTGTAGGTCCTTTGCCCTCTATCCTTCCCACAAGTAAGCAAAAAGCAGAGAGTGGGCAGAATGTATGCTACAAAGAGGACTGAATTCTTCTTTATGGAGAGCATCCTCTGTTTTAGGAAACACAAAATAGATATGCACATTTCAGCTATGAAATGCAAATTGTGTGATTTGAGTGACTTCACATACAAGGTAGCTGCTCTTATATTCACTATTAAAACTTTCATTGTTCCTCATAAAGGTGAATGGCAAAAAAATGTTTGTAATTCAGCATTTTAATTTTTATTAAGTGACATTAAACAGCAAATGAAACACACCATAATGTCAATAGATTGAGTCTAGAAGAAAGGAAAAAAAACTTTTTAATATCTTTGGAGGCATTTTTTATTGCCTTTTCAGTTTGCAACGTGGTCAAAAGTCATGTAACTCCCTGACTATAATCCACCATGTCTCCAAATACATGGTCAGAGTGCAAGATGGACAGCCTCATCTTTGTCATTTACCAAGCATTTAGCCAAGATCAGTTCTTT